TCACTACCCACAGGAGTCTCAGAGTGGCTTACAAACTCCTTTCCCTTCCACTCCCCGCAACAGATACCCTGTGAGGTAGGTGGGGCTGACAGAGCTCCCTCGAGAACAGCTCTGAAAGAACATATGACTGACCCAAGGTCACACCAGCAGCTGCATGCGGAGGAGGAGTGGGGAAGCAAACCCGGTTCTCCCAGATTAGAGTTTGCGCTCCTAACCACTACACCAAACTGACAATAGCAGGTGAATGACAACATCAGGTGGGATTGGATTAGGTGTGACATGTGGAATGGTAGCAGGGGTGGAGAAATCAGCATTGGTAATGAGACAGGAAACCTAGGTCTCAATTCAGTCCACTTTCCAATATATAGGACAGATGGACTCCCACTCTAGCTGTATCTGAAGAAGTGAGCAGTGACTCACGAAAGCTCCTCCCCTGCCACGAATTTTGTTAGTCTTTAAGGTGCTACTGGACTCTTGCTCTTTTCAACTGCTACAGACAGACTAATATGACTAAATAACAAGAAACAAGAGTAGTAACACATTTATTGTTAGTCATGAGACCTGCATACACAATCAACGTATGTGTGAGTGAGTGTTTAACTTGCGTGTTATGTGCCCTCAAGTTGCTTACGACTTATGGTAAAAATATGAATTGATGACGCCCAACACAGCCTTTTGCTAGCAGCCTTGCCCAAGTCTTGCAAACGGAAGCAAGCGTCATGGCTTCCTTGATTTGAGCCAAACCGGTCACGGCTTCCTTAACTGGGTCAAACCAGCTCATGCTGGGTCTTCCCTCTTTTCCTGTTGCCTAAACTTTTCCTATCAAGACCTCTTTTCCTGTTGCCTTCAACTTTTCCTATCAAGACTGTCTTTTCTAGTGACTCCTGTCTTCTTATAATGCGACCAGCAAACCCTGTGTCCTGTGCTTTGGATGATCATGCAGTTTGGCTGTAGCCAGACAAGTTTCTAGGAGGGCTGTGTTAGAAAGAATTCCCCTTTGAGAGCCATCTCAGATAGCATGCTTCCAGTAGACACCAACAAAAACATAACCCCTCCCTGCTGAAATACACAAATACTTACCATTAACAAAGCTGTTAATCAACCATGAGTACCAGCTGTCAAGAAAGGGGGAAAAAAATAACTATTTTCATTCTTAATTTAATATAGAGAACATTTAATATTTCCCTATTCTGCATTCTGGTAAAGTGGATCTGATCACTTTTTCCCCTACCAGAAAACGATACACATGTTTAAGGAAAGGGCCAAACCAAATACCAAAGGTTGACAGGGAGCCAGGAGGGGCATATCTGCGAAACAAACAACCCTCTTTGAGTTGCCAAGGCAGGTAACCGCCCCCGCCCCCCCCCGGTCTTGCCTGACTGAGTCACAGTAATCCATGCAACGGTTGCCTCTGGGTTAGATTACCGTAACTCACTCTACTCAGGGGGGCTACCCTTGAGACCCGAAAGTTACAACTGGTCCAGAATAGGGCGGCACAGGTTCTCATCGGAACCCCTTCAACAGCACATATCCAGCCGGTGCTCCGCCAGCTGCACTGGCTCCAGGTTGAATACTGGATCAGGTTCAAGGTTTTGGTATTAACCTTCAAGGCCCTAAACGGTCTGGGACCAGTGTACTTTCAGGACGGCCTCTCCTTGTATACCCCCCCCCCAAAGAGCACTGCACTCAGCGGAGAAAAATCTGCTCAAGGTCCCTGGCCCCGGCCTTGCAGAACTCTCTGCCAAATGACACCTGTGGCCTGGCGGGACCGGGGCTCGTAAGGCAGAGATGTTCCGCCAGGCCTACGGCTGAGGACAGCAACATTTTTTTAATTAGCCTGGCCTCCTTCCAGTTCCCCCCCACTTGGGGTAAGGTAACTGCGGTGGCTCAAGTGGTTAAGACGCTGAACTGCAGGCTGTAGAAGGTCAGTAGTTCAGCAGTTCAAGACCCGGGTGCTGCAAGACAGGGTGAGCTCCTGTCTCTAGTTCCAGCTCCTGCCAACCTAGCAGTTCGAAAGCAAGAAATTGCAAGTAGATAAATAGGTACCACTTCGGTGGGAAGGTAACAGCGTTTCGTGCGCCTTGGTGTTTAGTCATGCCGGCCACATGACCACGGAAACATCTTCAGACAGCGCTGGCTCTTCGGCTTTGAAACGGAGATGAGCACCGCAACCCTAGAGTCGGATTCGACTGGCTTTCGAGCAAGGGAACCTTTACCTTTTAACTTGATTCTAGACGCCATCTGGAATGGTCATTGCAACTGCTTTATTGTTTTTAATCTGTTTTAAATTTGATGATGATGATGATAATAATAATAATAATGATTGTATCCCTAATGTTGTACACCGCCCCGGGCCCCAAGTATGGGGAAGGGCGGTTTAGAAATCAAATAAATTAATAAATAAAATAATAAGGGTTTCCAGACCATAAAAGGAATCACATTATAAAGTGATGGTGTAGACAGACAGGATGGGCAGGATCCTAGCATTTACCAAAGGAGAGGTCAAAGTGTGCATTGTTTTCAAAATTGACTGAAGACCAGTAATTAAAAATAGACATTAATCCTTCAGAATAATAATAAAAAATTCTTCTCTGAACAAATGTACCTTTTTTGATTTATAGAACTGCAAGTGAACGATTCATGCTTATGCAACCAAAATTTTAAGCTGTACATTACATACTTTTGAAACAATTCACAGCACTTTACCTTTTGTATTTGACATTCAGCAAAGAATAAGCTGCACCTCCAATACACAATGGGTATAGCAAATATGACAAGTACTTCATGGCCTGAGAAAGGAAAGGAACATTATTTGTAGACAATCCCGTCCTACCTTACGGTACATTTGAATCCTACTCCTCTGTCAAGGAAAAGGGAGCAACCCCCCCTCCCCGATCTACTGGCTCTGTGAGACTGGTTGGGTCAGAGCCAGGGCAGGGGGCAGGTCTACAATTCAGAGGGGGGGGTATTCAGAACTTTGGGAGGCACTGAGGATTGCAGGCCGCCCCGTCTTCACACTTGCCGTGGCTTCCGACAGCTAGAGGAGGAGAACCATTCCCTGCTGTTCATCCTGCCCTTAGGACAAAACCCCAGATTTCTCCCCAGTGGCATTACAGAAAACAGAAGGTATACGGGTCTGAGATCGGTGCACTGTAGGCATATATCATAAATACACATAACATAAAGTTGCCTTGACATTACACGAGTTCTGTATATTAGTAGATGGTATTTTAATATAGTCTTTATATATATTTTAATATAGTCTTTTGTTTTAAACTAGGGGTGTCAAACATACGGCCCACAGGCCGGCCTCTGCGAGCCTCCAATTCGGCCCGAGAGCAACTGCCTCTCTGCTGCTTCCTGCTTCTAACGTTGCAGCTCCTTTTGGCCAGTCTCTCCTATTTCCTGCTTCAGAGGAGAGAAAGAAAGCCTTCCCTCGATTGGCTGAGGGCCCCTCCCCCCTCCTCCTCTGGGGAGGGAGGAGGAGGGAAAAAGCCAGGGGGGGGGGATGGCACCTCGTGGGAGTTTTAAGCAGACAAGCAATGTTTTATTCCAGGTATGAGTTTTTGGG